TGAAAAAAGTGATTTAACCAATGGTTGTTGCACTTACGGCCACTGTAGTTCCCTATTTGTGACCTTCCCAGGGGACACCCAACAAGCAAAGTCCATGCGGGGATTCCCTTAATGATCATGTGTTTCATTTAACAACTGTAGTGATTTTTTTTCTTTTTTTTTGCAGTACCAGTTAAGGTTGCCAGATTGGGCGCAACTCGCTTAATGAACTCCCCGTAAACCAGTGTTTTCGCAACTGCAGACATTGTTTTGCGGACTTCAACTCCCAGAATTCTCCAGCCAGCCTGTGTGCTGGCTGGGGAATTCTGGGAGTTGAAGTCCACACACACACCAGTTGCCAAGTTTTGAGAAATACCGACATAAAGGTCGAACAGCACAGGGGCTAATTAATTTGCATCCCTGCCTGACCCCTATACGGGTGGAAACAGTTTCTGTTAGGTCCCCACCGCTGTTATCCTGGACCGCTGACGGTGCCTTTGTGTGACCAGACAATTGTTTGCGGAGGCTGCTCGTTTTCTCCAGAGGTTCTCGGTGGGCGGAGAATCAAATGCCACCCTTAGATTCACTCTGTACATGATGATAATCAGAATCATAACCCCAGTGACTAGAAAGTTCGATGCCCTTCACGATGAGATCACCGATTTCGTTTGAAGTGACCCAGGTTTAAATGTCTCAGGGGCAGAGGTGGCATTTCTAATCTATTGCTTTGGCTTATAGGAATGGACGGATGCTTTTACCACAGCTTTGTTTTGGGTTTCTCTGCTAGATAGATAACAGAACAACGGAGGTAGAAAGGGACCTTGGAGGTCTTGTAGTCCCTGGTCAACCCTGGTCCATTTCAGACAAATGGCTGTCCAAACTCTTTGTAAAAATTTCTAGCGATGGAAACTTCTGGAGGCTAGGTAGGCAGGTAGATAGATAGGTAGACGATAGAGACAAAGGGATAGAATAGAGTGGGATGGTGGCCTAGTAGTGAAGATGCTCGTCTCCCACTCGGAAGATTGAGGGTTCAATCCTAGGTAGCAGCAGTTGTTTCCTAGAGCACAAAGAAAAAAATATCTGTTGCAAACTCTGTATGGTGTCAGGAAGGGCATCCGGCTAGTAAATGCTCAGCTCCATTCAGTTGCCCCGACTCGACCCTGAATTAAGAGATTACTGAGTCGTATAAAGGGAGTGTTTTAAACAGATAGCCAGAATTATATATAGAGATACAGGTAGCTAGAGATAGATAGATAAAATAATACATTTAGAATGACAAGAGTTGGAAGGGAGCTTGGAGGTCTTCTAGCCCAGGGGTCGCCAACCTTTTGGACCTCAGGGACCACCAAACTCATAATTTTAAATCCCAGGGACCACTAACTGGTTCTGTGGGTGTGGCCTAATTTGTGGGTGTGGCTGGGTCATGTGATTGGCTGGGCATGGCTTGTATGTAAATATTATAAATATTTATATAAATATTGATTTTTTTTATAAAAAAAGAGCAACTTTTACCCAAAATCAGGCAAAGCAGGCAGACAGAATCACAGATTCATTCAGTGATCTATCTATCTGCCATCGGCTAGCTCAGTCTGTCACATAAAATTTGCTTGCCGTGAGCCTGCACTGAATAATAAAACCTTCAGTCCTAAGGGAGGTTCGGCTGTGCTTAAAAGCAGAGCTGAATATCTAAAGATTAGCTAGAAAGGAAGAAATCCAACCATTTCCTGCTTCCTAGCTAATCTGAATCTCCCGGCACAGCAGAACAGCTGATGGTCGGAAAAATAGCAATTTAGCAGGCAAGTTTGTGGATAAGGAGTGAGTGGGTGGGGAGGGTTCCCGCAGGCCATGTGGGCAGCACAGCCTTGTTTCTGCACAGCCTGGATTAATTGCTTTTTGGGGGGAGTTGCTCTGGGGGTGAGATTTCTCTGTAGCCCACCAAAATTTTCTTACGGCCCACCAGTGGGGCGCGGCCCACTGGTTGGCGACCGCAGTTCTAGCCCAACCCCCAGTTGTTCTAACTGTTGGGAAATTTCTCCTTAGTTCTAAGTTGCTTCTCTTCTTGATTAGTTTCCATTCATTGCTTCTTTGTCCTGCCTTCTGGTGCTTTGGAGAATAGCTTGACTCCCTCTTCTTTGTGGCAGCCCCTAAGATATTGGAATGCTGCTATCATGTCCTTCTTTTCATCAGACTAGATATACCCAATTCCAGCAACCGTTCTTCATATATTTTAGCCTCCAGTCCCCTAATCTTCTTCATTACTCTTCTCTGCAATCTTTCTAGAGTCTCAACATCTTTTTTATATCATGCAACCAAAACTGGATGCGGTATTCCAAGTGTGGCCTTACCAAAGCATTATAAAGTGAGATGGATGGATGGATGGATGGATGGATAGGTAGGTAGGTAGGTAGGTAGGTAGGTAGACAGACAGACAGACAGACAGATAGATAGATAGATGATGAATGGATGGACAGATAGAACAGATTTAATATTTGTTGATTTGCTCTTGGAGTATAATATTAAATAAATGTGTGTGGTGTCCTTTGTTCGACCAAGAAACAGTAGGAGATCTTTCAACTGGGAGCTCTAAGCTTTCTCAACATAACCAGGCCACACCCGCCACGGACTCTGAAGGTCCATTCGGAAAGTGACTGTGAGAACAAGGGAAGAAACATGCAGCAGCACCGAATGGATTCCCAGGACGAAGCACCAACACTACCACTTCAGGTGGAACCATTTTTTTTATTTGAAACAGACATGTATTTTGATAAAAATCTGTATTTTTGAAACCACTTTCTTTCCAACGGTCTCCATGCTCCAGAAGTAACTTTTCTTTTCCAATCTTAATCTCTAAGCTATTTACATCTTTTGACTTCCTTAGGAAAGCAAAACCTTTTGTTAAGGGTACAACTTGGCGATTGTATCTGAAGCTAACAAAAAAAGGATGCTTATGTGAAACTGAAAACAATAAACATTGGCAGATGTCACAGGCCACGTTAGTTTGCTAAAACACACCGACCGGATTAACCAGTGTGTGTGTATATGCTGGTGTGTAGGAATACCACACTGACAATTCCTCTTCTGTTACAATGTTAAAGCCTATGTTATTTCACAGTTATGCTGTCACCCAAACACACATTTTTCTACCTTTGTATATTGATAAAACAACAACTGAACAAAATCACAACGGCTTGCAAATCTTGTTATCTTTCACCCCAAACAAGAGAAAAGGCTCCATAAGATCCTTGCTTTGTTTTTGTTTTGTTTTTCTACGCTCTGGGGGGAAAAAAAGAATTCTAGATCATTTTTAACAAAGGAGAAGGTGAAGAAAAACCTTCACACAATAACTCTGATCGTTCTTCTTTGAGAAAACACAGGAACAAGTGGAAAGAACTAAAGCTGATGAAAAGAATGGGCAGAATTTATTAATGCCAAAAGAAGAATGTTTACTGAACTAAATGTGAAGATTAAACCCAAGTTGCAGAGAAGAACGTCATAGGTTCTTTGATAAAACAGCTTTCTGGACAATTAAAATTTGAGCCTGCCACAGGGAAGACACTGATGATGTCAAACTTGATGGGCCAAGATGACAACAGCCCAAAAGGCCCAACAGACAGACTCAGTAGAAGAAAAGTGATAACAGAGCATTGAACAATTAACAGCATCGTTCAGAGCAGAAGGAAAGATACCGAAGGAATTCAGCACATAACTGTATCGTCAAGAACACAGCTCTACAAATGATCCTTTGCTATTGTTGACACAGCTTCAGATGACACAACATGAAAGGCAACGTTGCGCATGCAGTGCCTAAGACTAGGGTTGGGGTTTCCTCTGAGGGGGATTCACACAGCACAGATTTATTCAGCTCCTGGACATCGCCACTATATTTCAGAATGAGGAGAGTTGCTTGCCAGAGCTAAAAATGGTTTTTGCCTGCATTTCAACTTAAAAAATAAAAAAAATCAACCTCTGGTTCACTCTTTTCTCACTTAAAGCAGCCAAACCACGAATATGGAGAAGTTAAATGAAGTTAAAACGTTCCACAGGAAATCTAAAGTAAACGGAAAAACTATCTTCGGTCCCCTTGGGGAATATCGTATGATTCTGTCCAATATTTCAGTTGAAGGGGGGAAAAAAACTAAAATTGCAATGAGAGTTTTTACTGCTGCTGCAAACTCTAAATCAGAGGTCTCCAAATTTGGCAACTTTTAAGACTTGTGGACTCCATCATAGCTGACTGGAGAATTCTGGGAGTTGAAGTCCACAAGTCTTAAAGTTGCCAAGTTTGGGGACCCCTGCTCTAAATTCCAACCCAAGAACTAATCTACTTTCCAGAGTAAGGATTTATGTCTTACAGGACACTTTTAAGAAATCTTGTGCCATGTTTTCAAATTAAGCTTTAGCATAGCCGCTATAAAAAAAAAAAAGAGGGGGGGGGAGTGAATCTAACGTGTGTTTTTAGCCTTTCTGGTTAAGTAGAGGACCCGGGGGGGGGGGGGGGGGGGGGGGGGGGGGGGGGGGTTAAAGATACAAGAACCCCCCCCTCCATTGGTAGTTTTCTCCAGGCGCTTCCTGTCTGGACGACTAACTACCTGAATGCAAACAAGGTGCCCGATTTTCTCTCCGTGACATACTTGATTCAACCCCCTTGATAACAGACCTTCGAGAAGGCCCAGCGGGTTTGGAGGCAGGACTTTCTTTCTTTCTTTCATCTCCTTCTTCATCACCTGAAATCCGTGTGGGGAACGATAAACCCAGCCAATTTTCAGGCGAGCAAATGGGGAGGGGGGGAAAAAGGCAGACTTCTGCAGCGTTAAGGTGTCGTGATTTTGACTGTCCCTGCTTCAAGCCGCACGCGACCTCCTTTGCTCTCGTTTTAATCTTACTGGAAAAATCTCTTCTCAGGTCTTTCCGGATGGTCGTCTCTGGGGAATCTTGCAAAAAGCTCTGCCTAAACATCCGATGGGGAAAGGCAGGCAGCCCTAGGGTGTTCAGCTGAGGCCAGCCTCCCAGCCCACTCACCAATAAGATATACTTTATTTATATATTTTTTTCCAGTGGGTTGTTGTAGATACGAGGCGGAGCGGGTCCAATTCAACGCAACGATTTGCTGGGGTTGTTTTTTGTTTTGTTTTTTGCAGGCCAATCGAGGCATTTGGGGTCCCGCCAAACTAATTCCTGAAAGAGAGGAATGAACAAACAAACAAACAAACAAACAGTGGAGATATTCACAGATATTTCAGCAAATGTGTGATTTTTCTTTCAAGGTTTTTTTTTTTTCCTTTTCAAAACCGGCACAACATTCATCAGTTATAAGGGGTTGGCTTGCCACATTCTCTTCCCCACCAAGGAAGTTCTGCTTAGGAGCAAACAGGAGCGCACAAGTCAAAGGAAAGGATCTTGGGAGGGTGGGGAGTAAAAGAGGCCATCCCATTTTTAAATTCCTGGCAGCCGTGTCCCCCAGTTTAAGCTCTCACCCCACGCGGGTGGTTGTGTGAAAAGGTGAGCGAGGGGCCTTGCGTTTGTCAGCCCCGCCGAGCGTTTCATTGTCCTGCCTCCCTCCTTGACGATGATCACTGCTTCCCCAAGGCTCCTATTTCTCTCTGTAATAAAGCAGGTAATATTTCAAAGGATCGGGGAGAGGCAGGGTAAGAATCTTTTCTCTCAAGGTGTTTGTCGCCGGTTCGGGCTTCAGTTCTGGCACAGGTTTTTCCACCTCTTCCCGGCAATCTTCCTCCAATTCCTCACAATTATTATCCTCCAAAGGGTTGGAGATCCGGCTGGCGAAGACCTCTTTGTCCAAGAAGACGATGGTTTCCATGCGGCGGTGCCGGATGCGCCGCCGTTTAAACCTCGGCGGGTTCCGGAGGCCGTTCCCATTTTTGCTGGTTTCTTGATGGATCAGCTTTTTAATGGTGCCGCGGATGGCAATGCGAGACAGGTCCTGTAGGCTGCGAACCGTCACCGGGGCTGGGAAACGGGAAAGAGGAGAAGGGAACAGGTGAGGGGATCCCCGTAGCATGGCGGGGAATGGAAGGATTTATATTCCTTGCAGACCGCTGGTCGTTTGCATCCTTTTAGTGAGTTGTTGAGGCCGCTTGGAGGTCTGCAAGGAGTATAAATCCTTCCATTCCGCACCATCCAGTGAGAGCCAAAGAAGCTTCTTGGAGGAGAAGCAAAACGTCTTCAAAGAAAAAACCAGAAAGTCCAGTTTGCCTCTTGAAAAAAAAAAAAAAAAAAAAAAAAAAAAAGCACTTTTGGGATGACTAGCAGGAGTGAAATCTGCAGGGATTGCTAATCTGTTTCAGGCTAAAGGCTTCCTTTTGTATCCCAATGGGCCCAGAGCATATTAAGCAAATAGCCAAGGCAGGCATTCCTTTCCATATTCCCTATCGTGTGCTTGCTTACTCTCCTGTAATCCTGTCCTTTCCGATAAGTGAACGTGGATTTCCTGCTTGCTAATGATCCCAGAACACGACTTCAGCAATAGAGTGGTCAATGTCTGGAATACTCTCCCTGACTCTGTAGTTTCTTCCCCAAACCCCAAAAACTTTAACCTTAGACTGTCTACTATTGACCTCACCCCTTTCCTAAGAGGTCTGTAGGGGGCGTGCATAAGCGCACCAACGTGCCTACCGTCCCTGCCCTATTGTTTCTCTTATTCTTCTTTTATTTTTCTTATATGTACCCATTTCATGTATTCACAACTATGTATACACTTATACTTATTATCTTGTAAACAATTGGCAAATCAAATAAATAAATAAATAAATAAATAACAGAGGTGAGGATTCCTAAGGGTGAGGGGGATGTGGAGAAAAGGGACTGTTAAAAGATTTACCCCTTTCCCCCCCCAGCTCCCTTACGTGTCAAATTCAGGACTGTGAACGTTCCCTGCCATTAGGGCTCATGGGGGTTGTATCCTCCTGATGTTATACTTGCGGGCAATTTCTTAATAAACCCTTTAAAAAGATTTATTGCGGTACAAGCCCAGGCGTCTCCCTTGGTGTTCTCCTTCTTTGGTATCCGTACTGGAAATTCTAAATCAAGCGTTGACATGCAGCTTAACGGAAAGATGGGCTACACTGGTTCAGACTAGGTCCTGGGGAATGAGGGCATTAGGGCCTCTTGCTATCGCTCATCTTACTAGGGCGTGTTAAAAAGTGGGGACCGGTGAGCTAAACCAGAGGACTCCAACCTTGGCAACTTTAAGACCTGTGGACTTCAACTCCCAGCTTTGCTGGCTGAGGAATTCTGGGAGTTGAAGTCCCAGAAGTCTTAAAGTTGCCAAGGTTGGAGACCCCTGAGCTAAACAATCCAGCTCATTATAGCAATGGAACAAGTGGTACACTCTGTATTTATTTATATACTTGCTTATAACCTGCCTTTATTATTTTTATAAATAATTCAATGCAGCAAACATTGTTAATACTCCTCCCTCCTCTTATTTTTTACCCCACAACCCTGTGAGGTGGGTTAGGCTGATGGAAAGTGAGACAAAGTCACCTAGATGTCTTTCATGCCTAAGGTAGGACTAGAATTCACAGGTTTCTGGGGATTGGCCCAAAATCCCACAGCCACTTTTGATGCTTAAGGAGGAATTAGAATTCACAGATTCCTGGTGATTGACCTAGTGTCAGCCTTCAAGATCTTTTGCAACTGCTTTGCATCTTTTGGCTGCCATAAAGTAACGGGGGGAGGAGGGGGGAATTGTCTGGGAAGAGGGCTGGGGGGTTTTGCTTATGTGGTTGGAAAATTGGGGAATGGGGGGGGGGTGTATAAATTCCTGCTTTTAGCTTTCTATTTCTCGCTTGGCTTTCTTTTCTCTGTGCAACTGCAAATCTTTATCAAAATATGCCAAGGTCAACGGACAGAGGCCTCATCACCACCTGAAGATGTCCACATGATCATATCCAGAACTTTTAATTGGAAGAATCTTTTGAACTTTGGGGGGTGGGAACAATTCCATCACTTTGTATATGTGATCTGCGTGCCTAATTTCATAGATTCAGAATTTTACCTGAAGCTACCACTTCAATTTTCAGTAAAAGATTTCTTTCCTCTAATCTATGGAGTCTAAGTATTTCTTTCTTGGATTTTGAATGGAGCACAGACTGACACCTAGTCACCCAGCCATCTTTCATGCCTAAGGTGGGACTAGAATTCAGAGATTCCTGGTGATTGACCCAAAATCCTCCAGCCACTTCTCATGCTTAAGGCAGGACTAGATCTCACAGTCACCTGGTGATTGGCCCAAAGTCACCCAGCTGTCTTTCATGCCTAAGGCGGGACTAGAACTCCCAATCTCCTGGTTTCTAGGTTAAGCACTAGACCCTATTTTCAAAATGGAACGAATTGAACACATAAACAGAGATGGGTAGGGGTGGCTGACTTACGCAAATGAACCAGTCTTGACTTCCCTGAATCTAAATGGTTCGGTTGGATTAGAGGAGCAAAGGAAACAGCCAAGATTTTCTTGGTCTCCCAGGCGGAAGGGCCTGTTCGAGTAATCTTCGTCAACTGTACGGAACGACAAAAGCAGAAGGTGAAACGTGGGCTATAGCAGACGTCACCAAACACTCCCACCCCCCGAAACACACAGACTTCTCTGCCTCAGACGTTGCAAACGTGTCCCTGGCTAAACCTAAAACCCAGCAGTTGTACTGGTCGCAATAAACTCCAGCTGCCAGAAGTCTTAGCCATGGCCTCATTGCCTAAGGAATCCTGGGAGTTGCTCTACATACCTGGAAGTTGCAAAGATTGGTTATGGTGGGCTGTATACTACACTTTGTCAAACTCAACAGTTCAAAGTTGGGTGGACTTCAACTCCCAGAATGCTCTAGACAGCATGCTGGCTGGGGGAATTCTGGGAGTTCAAGTTCCGTACCTTAAAAAGTTGTGGAGGTTGAGATACACTGCACCATACCAACACTTCTCAGCAAGCTATTCCTCCCCAGTGATGTCAGCTAGCTCAGGGAATGGGAATGATGGCCCCTTTGTGACTTGTGGACTTCAACTCCCAGAATTCCCCAGCCAGCATGGCTGGCTCAAGAATTCTGGGAGCTGCAGTCCACCAGGCATATAAAGAGGCCATCGTCCCCCAATCCTGAGCTAAAATTTAGTACAAAGGTGTTTCCCCTCTACTATTACAGGCAGTCCTCAATTTACAACCATTCTTTTAGTGATTGTTCCAAGTTACAACGGCACTGAAAAAAGCGACTTGCAACTTGGTTCCCGTCATGGTGCTATTCAACTGGGGTAACAACCGGTTTGGTGAGTGCACGCTTCTGCCGTGTGAATCAGCTGTGCTCCAAAACAACGAAATAAAGCAATAGAAAAGAGCAGGGGTGGGTGGGCGGGGCCAAATGCTCACTGGAACTACTGGTTCGCCCGAACTGGTCCTAACTGGTAGAATCCCACCCCTGGTCTCTGTACTCACGACTGTCACAGCATCCCCCATTACTGAGTCTGCCATCTGCACCTCTATAACTGTCTGGTTTGGTTCTGCAACCCAAAGGACAGACACAGACTTCAGAGAGTAATTAGGACTGCAGAAAAAACAATTACTACCAATCTGCCTTCCATTGAGGACCTGCATACTGCACGAGTCAAAAAGAGGGCTGTGAAAATATATCCAGACCCCTCACATTCCGGACATAAACTGTTTCAACTCCTACCCTCAAAACGATGCTATAGAGCCCTGCACAACAGAACAACTAGACACAAGGACAGTTTCCCCCAAAAAACTTGCTAAACAAGTAATTCCCACAACACTGTCCAACTATTTACAAAGTCTGCACTACTATTACTATTAACCTTCTCGCCACTCATCACCCATCCCCGCCCACTTGTGACTGTATGACTGTAAATTTGTCGCTTGTATCCTTACGATTTATATTGACTGTTTCCTAGTATGATTTGATTGCTTATTGTACCCTATGACTATCATTAAGTGTTGTACCTGATGATTCTTGACTCTTGACGAATGTATCTTTTCTTTTATGTCCACTGAGAGCATTTGCACCAAGACAAATTCCTTGTGTGTCCAATAACGCTTGGCCAATAAAGAATTCTATTCTATTCATGTGAGCAAAATTCAGGCACCTGGCAACCTTCTTGTATTTATAACAGTTGCAGTGTCCCAGGTAACCTTCCAAGCTGGCTTCTGACAAGCAAGTCAATGAAGAAGCCAGATTCACTTAACAACTGCCTGATTTAGAAAGTGAAATTCTATTCCCAATTATGGTTCTAAGTCGAGGACTACCTTATGACTACAACTGAGCCCAACATTTATGTTATTAAGTGAAAAAAAGATGTGAATTTGTCCCATTTTGCAAATTTTCCTTGCCATCTTTGTTAAGGGAATCACCACCATTGTTGAAGTAGTAACCCGGTTGTGAAGTGAATCTGGCTTCCCCATTGACTTGGCTTGTCAGAAGGTTGCAAAATGACTCCTGAGCATGGCAACTGTCAGAAATAGGAGTCACTTTGTCAAGCATCTGGATGCAAATCGCGTGAACCTTGGGATGCTGCAATGGTTGTAAAGTGTGGAAAATGGTCCATGAGCAGGGATGCGCTGCTACCCATAGCTAATGTTATGGCCAGTTCAGTGAACCGCCAAATCCCGACCCTGGCTGGCTCCGGCCACCCCTCCCAAAAGTCGGGTCCCCCTGGCCCATTTTGGATGCGAGGTAAATGCAGGACGTGCGTGGAGGCTTGGGGAGGGCAAAAAGCGGACTTCCTGGAAGTTCTGGCCCGTTTCCGGCCTCCATAGGTCCTCTGGAGCCCGGGGGGAGACCGGTTTCACCCTCCAAGAGGCTCGAGGGAAGCCTCCAGAGCCTGGGAAGGGCAAAAAATGCCCCCCCGCTTCCTGCTGTGGTGCAGGAGGCCGACTAGGCCACACCCACCCAGCAACTGGGCAGAGAACCGGTTGCTGAAATTTTTGAAGCCCTGGCCATGTCACTATTTTCAGTCCCATTGTAGCTTCAAACGGTCACTAAATGAACTGTTGTAAGTTGAGGACTACCTGTACCGCATTATCCCAATTTATATTGTACCTCAATCCTATTCTGAACAATTGACTCCTCCCTATCAAACGAAAGGTCCCATAATTTCAGCTTCATCTCTCTCCCTCTCTCCCACTTGGCTTACTCCTTCTCTAGGTCTCACCCTCTCCATCCTCCCAGCCATCTTAGATCTGTTTAATCTCTCCGGGGCTCTTTCGTTTGTTTCTTGGCAGCCCGGATAGCAAAGCTCACTCTTTATGGAATTGACCGGACTCAAAAACAGTTATCGGAGACGACCAAAGGCACCCATCAACCACCAGCAAACCTTCTCCTCCAGGGGCATGACGAGAATCCCCCCGACTTTCAGCAAGTTCTTCATGTAATCTTCGTGCTCCTTCTGGACGCCGGCTCCGCAGTAGACGCGGTCGTATTGAGAGCACTCTGGAGAGATTTCTAAGCAGTTTCCAGAGACGAAGGACGGCTCGCAGAACTCAAACCTCAGAAGGAAGGAAGGAAGGAAGGAAGGTGGGTTGTGAACGAGACTTTCAACACAGCACGAGAATTCAACGGCGACAGCAGTTTATTTTAGATTTTTTAAAAAAATCTCACCTTTTACAAATAACTCAAGATGGCGAACATACCTAATACTCCTTTCTTTTCCTGTTTTTTCCCCAACAACAACCCTGTGAGGATGGATGGGCTGAGAGAGAGGAGGGGCTGGTCCACAGTCATCCAGCTGGGCTTTCGTGCCTAAGGTGGAACTAGAGCTCACAGTCTCCTGGTGATTGGCCCAAAGTCACCCAGCTGGTTCCCATGCCTATGGAAGGACTAGAACTCACAGTCTCTTGGTTTCTAGCCTGATGCCTTAGCCAGTGTATCAAACTGGTTCATTTGGTTCAACTGGTTCATACACAGGGTTAGAGTAAAAAGGAAAAAAAATAAACATATTACATTAAACATAACCCTGGGAACATAGCAGATCTTAACCTCTCAGAACCCCAAAGACAGTGGTTTTTTTTTT